ATCTAAGAAGAATTACGGAAAAATGGAATTAAACTTCCGAGTTCTCTTATAACCTATAAATTTGTGTCAAAACATTAGTGTTTTTGCCACTAAAAAGTGTTGTTACTACTGTTAACCGGAATTTTGTTCAATATTTGATCGTTAATAATTCGTACAGAGAATTCTAATTTTTAGTAAGTATATATAAGTGTTATTCTGTTTCAGCCATGGTGCGTATGAATGTATTGAGTGACGCTCTCAAATCCATAAACAATGCTGAGAAACGTGGAAAAAGGCAGGTACTCATCCGTCCGGCCTCCAAAGTTATCGTTAAATTCCTCACTGTGATGATGAAGCACGGTTATATTGGAGAATTCGAAATTGTTGATGATCACAGAAGTGGCAAGATTGTGGTGAATCTAACTGGAAGATTGAATAAGTGCGGAGTAATTTCTCCAAGATTTGATGTCCCGATTACACACATCGAAAAGTGGACAAATAATTTGCTTCCTTCCAGACAATTTGGGTAAGTTACAGTCATTTTATCCTAAGGATAACTTTGGACTTAACTAGGCCTCAAATCATGATTCTACTCTGTAAAACTGTTCAAGGAAAGAAAAAAAAAATAAAACAAACATTCTTTTTTTGCACAAAGATAGTTCCAATACCTACTTAAGGATTGGTCCAGGTTTTAACCTTGAAGATTTTCTTAAGCTCAGTTGTAGCTCGATTAGTTTCGTCTTTAAGGAAACTGTTGCAAATAGCTGTCAAACATTTATTTTTAATAACTATGCTCAAATAATGCCAGTCTGTTTTTTTTTGTAGTTAAGTAAATATTTTCACCATCTACAACATTAAACTTAGATAAATTGAAATTATTTCAAACATTTGTATGAGGGTGGATGTAAACAAAGTGTATAATAGGTATGGCATAGTTAAAATCCCCTTGCCAATTCGTGTTAACATTCAAAATTGTTCTGGAAGTGACTGTATTGTTAACTTGGCACAGTCTACCAGATTTTACTAAATACATAATTAATCACAATGAAAGGGAACGAATGTCAAAAATCTCACAATTTCAATATATAAGTTCATTTATTGACTACCATGGTTTCAGGGTCTATGGGTTGCACCCCATCTTCAGGTCATAGGGCTACAAAGAACATTAAATTTAAAAATCACTATAATTAAAAAGACAATCAGTATATAAAACAATAGTGCTACATCAAAGTCATCAAACATACATAGTAAAAGCAACATTCACAAATATCATACACATTAAAATTTTAAAAATGTTTTAAGACAAAAGACCCTTATAGACCCTGAAACCATGGTAGTCAATAAATGAACCTATACAGGGTGTCCCAAAAAGATACCGATAAACTTTAAGGGGTAGTAGGGGACATCAAAACAAGCATTTTTGTTTATATATGATTGCTGGTTGCTGCAGGAGGACTTGGATCGTTTTTCTGTATGGTGCACTGATAATAATCTTTCATTGAATGTTAAGAAATGTAAAGTTGTTTCATTTAGTAGATCAAAAAATCCTCACAATTACAATTATTTGCTTAATTCTGAACAGCTTGAGAGACAGTCCCTAGTAAAAGATCTTGGTGTTTGGTTTGACTCCGAACTTACTTTTGCTCATCACATTGATGTAATTACCAACAGAGCAATGCGTTTGCTGGGGTTTATCTTTCGAACACTGCGAGGATTTGAGAATATTTTCACATTCAAGTTACTCTACTGTGCCCTTGTCCGCTCAATCCTGGAATATGCCAGTTGTGTGTGGCAACCATTCTATGGTGTACATAGAAAAAGGTTGGAAAGAATTCAGCATAAATTTTTGAGTAGAATAGCTTACAAACTTCATATTCCATCTGAGGAAATTAACTATGCTGACATTATGAAACTTTTGAATTTGACATCACTGGAAAATAGAAGAAATTTTTTTGACATCTCCACCTTCTATAAAATCATAAATAGTATGATAGATGCACCTGACCTCCTAGCGGCTATTGGCATTCATGTTTCCCCAATAAATGTTAGAAATAGGATTCTGTTTAATGTTGATTTTCATAGAACTAATTATAGTATTAATTCTCCATTGTGTAGAATGTCAAAGCTGTCAAATGATATTTTAACTAAATGTGACATAGATATGTTTGACCGATCTTATGGAAGATTTTCGACTAAACTTAAGAATGTCTTATATAATTGATAATTAGTCTTGTTTTTATCCCGCCATCTTGTGTCTTGTGTCTTGTTTTTTGGATTGTTTCAGACACTGATTCCTTGATACATTATATTTTGTCCTTTTTGACTTTTTGTAGAAATAATTAATTAACTATTGTAAATGCTATATGCGTGAATAAAATTTTGATTTTGATTTTTGATTTTGATTTTGATTTTGATTTTGATTTTGATTATTATTATTATTATAATTATTATTATTATTATTATTAATATTCACCATAAACACAATATGTATTCTGAAACTAAACTCTACACTACTTGAAATGGGGCTCCCTTGAGTGTTGTTTTTTTCAATGGCATTTAGAGAGCAAATATTTTCATCTTCTGGTGCGATTATATTTTATGAAATGGTTTATTTATTGTACTGTTATTGATGTTCTTTTTTTGTCCTTTCCCGATGGTTGTATTTCTTTGTCATCAATTTCCTGTTTTAAATTTTTGAGGGATCTATTAGAATGTGTTTCGGATAAACTATTATTTTCAATATTATTATTATAGAACAGCAAAATTTTCCTTGCAAAGTCATGCATTTAATAAGTAACTGAGTAATTATTATTGTTCGCAAGGCAAATGGTATATTGTAATATGTAGGTATTTGTAGTGATGTAAAATTCCCGAAACATTCAAAAGCCGCGAACATTCTCGGAATCTTTCCGGGAATATTGAAAACTTTCGGGAACTTATGGAAATATTGTCTAAAAAAAAAAAAACAAATTAGACAAATCGTAGTAAGCTTTATTTACTTACCTATTATTAGGTCTGTTTCTGCAGAAATCACAAACCAGTCAGTAAATTTCATTGGTTGAAACTAGTTTCCTGACTGTTTCTGACTGTTTTCAACCAATGAAATTCGCTCTGACTGGTTTGTGATTTCCGCAGAAACATACCTATTGTAGTGTACTGACTATAGACTATAAACCAAGAAAAACACCTATTTTTCTCAGTAAGGTCAGCTAAAAATTAAACTATGTAATAAAAACACTTTTATGGACGGTTGAATAAAGCTTTCAAGGAAAAGCTAATCCGAATAACCCAATTTCTCAGCTCTTTATTTTTTATTTTTCTTTAATGAAGATTATTTCAAACAAAGACAAACTGTAGGTACAGTCGTGAGCACAAAAAGTGGGACACCCCTTTTATCCTATTGTAAAACGGGCTCACCAGCTATACCTACGGCAATGACAGGGATTGTCATATTTGACAAAAAATCGATTGTAGAGAAAAGACTGATTTACGCAAAATAACGAAAAATGACAAGACCTGTCGGTCGGGTTTCCCACTTTTTGGTGTTCACGACTGTACATCAGCTGGTGACCAGGTAAATCGGATCAGCGTCTCCGTAAAGACAGTTGGACTAGTCTACATCATCCACATAAATTGAACACTGAGACCTTGTATTCGCAATAATCTCGCATTTCTATAAAATTCTTCTGGAAAGTTTTTGGAAATATTCTCGAAAGTTCTTGGAAATATTCTTTTGAGAGTTTTTGATTGAAAGTTTCCGGGCATATTCTCATTCAGGAGAACATTTCCATTTTTATCAGCGAATATTTTCGGAAATTTCCCAATTTCGCGAATATTCACATGGGAATATTCTCGACTCACATCACAAGGTATTTGATAAGTCAATTTATTATTAGATTTATTTTGTATGAACTACAACAATTAAATAAAGTTTAAATTTATTTAAAAATTCAGGTAAACTCCAGTTAGTGCATCTTTCTGATTTTCCCAGTTTTTTAATGGGCTTTGAATAGTACCTATTGAATAAATTGCCTGAATTTTGATAAATTTTTGGTATAATTTAACTTAATTTTTATGTCAGGAATTGCTTGGAATGAAATTGAATTTCTATTGTTCTTTCCAGATATGTAGTGTTGACGACCAGTGGGGGAATTATGGACCATGAAGAGGCCAGGAGAAAACATCTGGGAGGAAAAATCTTGGGATTCTTCTTTTAATGTGAATATTGTTAAAAATTAATAAAAAAATACATAAAAACATAAGGCATTTTTTTCTTTCACTCTACTTGGTACTAACTAAGGTTAATCAACCATCCATACAATTTGAACAATGGCTTTTATCAAGAAACTAGTGTGCCATGCCAAAGCGAAAAATAATAATTGATTAGTCATATTCATTATTATTAAAACGAAAGCTATAATTTAGAAAAAAAAGACAAATTTGATTAATTACCTTTACAACAAATGTTTTTATAGTTGGCATAAGATAAAATTCATATTTGAGCCAAAAAAATTGTATTTCTTATTTCTTTGAGGGTGATGGTCAACACAATAAAATAGAGCTTGTCAAAACTTGGAAATTTAACTCCACATCAGAGTGTCACCTTATGAGCATTGCTTATAGTTAGGTGTTTTCTATTTTATACTATGACACACAGGTGGAGATGGTTGTCCCAAAGCTTCCCATAATTTCAACGCTACCTGCTGTTTTGACTTTTTGAAATTTGGTGACAAACTTCAGTTAATTTATAGAATTAGATAAATATATGCTTATCTGTTTTTGCAATGAGGCTATCCATAAGTTTTTCACTTTACTTTTGATATGATATACAGTGTGTTTCACGAACATCGAAACTGAGGCGTTTCAGGGTATTTTATGGTCAATTTTTGGCCCATCCTTATAAGAACGGTGACAAAATGGACATTACCAAATACAGGCCTACTGCTAGGCCTGTATTTGGTAATGTCCTTAACACTATCCCTAAGGTCTTTGAGAATATAGTAACTAAATTCTTAACTCCTAGGTTTCCGGCCAAAGTTCTCAACCGAAACTAGCCTCCTGAAGTACCAGGATAAAATCTCGGGGATTCTTGAAAGCGGTGGAGTTGCTCACTCTATATAGAATACCGATTTTGCTAAAGCCTTCGACTGTGTCAACCACAACGTCCTACTTGCGAGGCTTGAGAGAATTGGAATATCTGGTACTCTGCTTGCATGGATCAGCGCCTACCTTACGAACAGAACCCAAACAGTCAAAATCATCAACTTCTGCTCACAGCCCATTGACATCCCTCCAGGTGTACCACAAGGATCTCACCTGGGACCCCTGCTATTCAATATTTTCATCAACGATATTGGTTCTTGTTTCATTAATTGTGAGTTTCTATGTCTTGCCGATGACTTGAAGATATTCGCCCGAGTCTCCTCCCACAAAGACTGTGCCAGACTACAATCTGACTTGGATAGAGTTTCCGAATGATGTGGTACAAGTGGCATGGAACTAAATGTAAAGCGATCGTTTCTCCAAAAGTCAAAGCCCCCATACAATTTGTTTACCACATAAGCAATAAACCACTTGAAACAGTGTCCTAACAACATGATCTCGGTGTCATTTTTGATAACACGTTGAGCTTCTCCAGCCACATTTCTCTAAAACTGCTGAACTTTGTTAAGAGGTGTTCAAGGGACTTCACACTAACATCTCTTCCATAAGGCTTCTCTACTGCACAATGATAAAGCCCATCCTAAAGCCGGATTCTCGGCTAAGCGAATAGAGCTTCCCGATAGAACGAATGTTTTGTCCTTGTCAACGTTATCGAAAAGTGGACGAGAATGATAAAGACGAAAAATTTGTACTCTCAGGGAGCTCTACTCCCTGGCCCGATAGTCGGCACCCTGGAGTACTGCTCCTTGGTTTGGTCACCTATGTATTCTGTCCACATCAATGCCATGGAGCAGGTGCAGCGTAAATTTGTACAGTACTTGACCTTCAAGACAAGTAGTCCTCCTCCCGGAAATTATATCTAAAACTATGATGACCTCTACTGACGCTTCAACCTGCAACCCTTAGCCGCCAGACGAAATCAAACTGATTTATTAACATTTTTCAAAATACCAAACTCTCAAAACGATTCTATATACCTACTATCTTCCACTACCTTCTCAGAAAAGATCCACCGGACTAACTATGGTTCGAATACTTTTATGTCCAGAGTTTCCTGAATCTCTAATGAGTTCAATACCCTGGATTTTTTCAGTACTCGTGAAGACTTTAAAAGAGAACTTAACTACTTAAACAAAGTTCCTGTACCTAATAATGTGATATTTAGTAATAAGAAATAATTTTATTGTAAGTAATGTTCGCCATATTGTCATGTTGTTGAGTAGTCTTTTGTTTTTCTATTTTAATTTTTGTTGTCAACTAATTTGTTCCCTAAACGTCTAATTATTGTAAATAGATGTTCTGTATGCTATTATGGGATTTCCCGTCGATAAATAAATAAATAAAAATAAATAAAATTGGAAGTTGATTTCATAGACTGTAAACATAAGCGATTATCTGTTTTTTCTAAATCTGGGAAAAATATTGCATAGATTGACTGAATTAACAAGGGTAGAATAAGTAAATAAACTCATCTTATAGAATCACAGTTTTATTATACAAACAGCTTGCTATAATAAATTATATTGGATAAATGCAGTAAAGAAATGAAGAATGTAGAACAATCAGTTCAAAAATTGCTTAAATTATTACATATTTGATATTTTCGGAAACAATTTAGGATAACAAACAATTTGCGCAGAGAAAGACAAAAAAAAATTACATATTTGTTACAAATACATATTACAATAAAATTTTCTTCATCAATTTGTTTCAATGCTCATCACAGGATTTCTAGTTCAAAATTGGCACAAACAATTTTGAACTTCAACCAATTGATAAAGTACCTACCTAACCTAATAGGTAAATGATGTTACCTATTAATTAGACCAGAGATCAATCTGAATAGCAGAAAGATTTAATCACGAAAGTATGAAAATTAAAAGGTATTTAAAAAAACTTAATTCAATAACATGGAGGGCATTAAAAAAACTAAATACAAAATTTATTATTTTGCACATATATCCCAAAAAAAAAACAATGAACACTGAACATTGTTTATAAGTTGATTATTTGCCTAATACACACAGAAACAATATTATTGAAAAAAATGTATAGGATCCTCATCCTAGTGATAAAATTATTACATTTATTACCTAAAGTAGGTAATCATAGAGATTTTCCTCCAAAATAATCCAATGAGAAATTGAATCCTGAAGGCTTCTGGATAATGACATCTCTATGATAACTAACCACATATATGAAGATTTATATTAAATAACAACCATCCAAACATATCTGTATAGTTTCTTGTAAAAAGTGTAGAAGTAATATTTGATTCGATAAACACTTATAGGAAAATATACGCTAATTATATGTTAGTCAAATGATTGACTTTGAAATCAAACATAATTAGCGTATCTCAAAAGCTGAACTAGATAATTGACAGTGATGCAATATACTCCACATAAATATCTAAAATTATTCTATAATTATTATAACCAGCTTTAAAAGGTAAAGTATGAACAATAGAATAGTAATTGTAAAAAATACTATATACAAAAGAACCTATTCATGTAAGTCAAGTCTTTTTATTTCATAATAATTAGTTAATTTAAATTCTCAATTTTTTCGGCTTCAGCAAAGCTTCCTGCTCCAGCCTACCTTGTATGGCCATTTTTGTAATCAACAGTAGGTTATAGCGAATATGGCAATCTAACTTGTAGTATAAGTATACAAAAAATTTATAAATTGGCATAAACAAAGCATTAAATTCAGATCCGAAATATGGCTTTATCATGTTATGGCTAATCCTAAAAACTAAAAAAATGCATTTGCAATAACCTACTGTTAAGTTTAAGCCAATTCTTTAAGTATGTTATTATTTATAACCTACGTAAAGAATTTCATGAAACAATTCGCACCATCATACATACCATTTGTGAGTAGATAATATACTTATCAAGAAGTATATTTATCATAACAAAGAGCCTCAACTAGTTTGAGATCAGGCAAATAAGTTTGCCTACATTTTGGTCCAGAAGATAAAAACTTTTAATATACACTAGCAGATATTATTTACAAGTTATTCTTAAGTAGCTAGGCATTCACAGATAGTTCTATTTAAGAAATAAAAGAAAAGGAAGTTTTTTAAAGCTTTTGTCAATGAGCCAGCAAATTACAACAACAATATTGAAATAATAATTAATTGCAGAGGTTTTGCCATTGACTCACAGACTCTTATGAATATTAACTTATAAATAATTTACACGAAAGATGAAAAACCTGGCAAAGGTGCCCTAGACCTTGCCATGTTGTTTAAGATAATTTGGCCTCCATTTAAGCTGACGACCGCACTTCCTTCTGGCTCAGAATCAGTGTAACTGCTGTAGTTCTTTACTGGTTTCTGCCTTTTCCAGGATTGTCTCAAAGTATCGTTGACGTTGGCATAGTGGTTCACGAAGGAATGCGGGTCTGAGCGGACACTCTCATTTTCACTCTCGGAACCCTAAAAAATGGGAAAGTTAGTTAAGAACTATTGCTATGGTCAAAATTTTATGTGATAATAATGCAAAATAAAAAGTATTGAAATTTTCAATGTTTTTTTTTTCCGCATTTTTTCGAAAAAAATATTTCAGTGCTACATGCAAACTCTAAGCGTGACAATATAGGAAAAGGTGATTCACCAATACAATCCACCAAGACGGCCTGACACACATTTTGGTCGCTATCTAAATGGATCATTTTGATATCCTGATATATGGGTAAAGCAAAAATATAGTAACTGTAAAGTAAGAGATTAAACAAAACACATACATTTTTTACCTTAACCCGTGGTGACTACAGTTTGCAAGAAAAGTGACACATTAGTATAACGCGACAAGTGGAAAATTCCAAATAGAAATTTTGTAGATACACACGATCTTTAATATTGCGAAGATTGAACCTTATAGTGATTAAATTCAACATACCTGTTCGGATGAACTCATTTCAGAAGGTTTTTCAGTGACACTACTATCATCAGGGTTCTCATCGTATCCTTTTAAACTTTCCTCATCTGAGTTATAAGGAACTGAAGCTGGAGACGGTCTTGGAGGCGATTTACCTAGAGAAAAAATATTAACACACCAAAAAATTAGAATATTTTTTAGAAGTTCCCTACCCAATATTGGTGGTGGCTGATTTTGTGGCTGTTTCCTTTGTCCAGTCCTCTTTCCTAAAGTTCCCATGGCACTTATCGTTCCATTATTACTTTTTGACCTATAATAGTCTAGAGGCAAGTCTTGATGATCACCCATTGACATCGCCATTGATTCTTCCAAAGTTTTCTGAGCTTCTTCTATATTATGAAACAAAAATATTACAAAACATTTCAATACTATTCTTCTATGTACTTACGTTTATATTTATAACTTTTACTTTTCACACACAAAACCGCTATTACCATAATAATAATGATAATCGAAATGGCTGCTAATGCTACCATAAACCAAGTTTGTCTGTAGAATTGGCTATTTTGCAAGTAGCCATATTCCATGTACAATTTGGAAGGAGTCAAAATATAGTCTTTCGAGGTGGCAGGACAGCTAATTCCAAATTTATTATACGGAATAGTCCTGAAAATGTATGCAGTGGATGGTAAAAGGCTCTGATAGGATATAGTAAACTCTTCCAAAGGGCCATTATTTGTTTTGGTTACAGTTTGCCATCTTGTATCGTCTAGAAGAAAAAAATCAATCACATAAGTACCTTAAAATGAGTGCAAACAAATTCTTACCTTTTCTTTGAGACTCCAAATAGTACCCCAAAATAGGTCCTTTGCCAGTAGGGCCGTTTAACCAATGGAAATCAATACTAGTCAATTGTCTAACAACTGTAAGCTCTTTTGGAGATCCTGGAGAACCTTCTTGAGGCCCTGTAGTTACATTATTGGACACAGGAGGTCCATAGCCAATGGTTTGAGCTTTTACTGTAAAAGTATAGGTGATTTCTTCCTCTAAACTTCGAACCTGTAGGTAATTAGTTGAAACTTTTTGTTTTACTTGTTTGCTGAATCCTGAAATAATTTCATATATTAAGGAAATTTACTTTTGAGTAGCTAGGTACTTACGATCATTTTCTTCCGTTGTCTCATATGTTACAATATACCCAATAATATCGCCATTAGGTTTCTTGGGAGGATCCCACATTACAATCAAACTGTTCATTGTAATTTCCGTGAATCTTAAATTTACAGGTGCACTAGGAAGTCCTTGAAGTGTTTTGACTACTATAGGCTGTGACCTGGGACCATCTCCGGCAGGATTAAAAGCCAAAATTTGTATTTTATATTCCGTATATTTGTCCAAAAATACTAAACTGTGAGCGGTGCTCGAAGCGGCAACCACTTCGATTTCTTCTTCCCATCGTTTGCCTTCTTCAAGTTCTTGGGGAGAATTGATTACCGTATAAAATATTTTATATCCGAGAAGTTCGCCGTTTTGCATATGTTGTTGAGGAGGTTTCCAGCGTAAACGTACTTCGGTAGATGATACTGGTTCACCTTGTAGCGTTCTAGGTTCTCCTGTAGGAACTGCTTCTCCCACATAGACTGTGACAGGGGGGTTTGCAGGACCTTCCCCTTGGATATTGAATGGCAGTACTATGATTTCATAATTTTTGTCTTGAAGGAGCTCGGTAAGAACCATTTTGCTAGCCTAAGGGAAGATAAATCAAATTACCTTTAGAATAAAATTGAATTATCAAAGTTAATTTTTGATGTAATGAAACAGTCATTGTAGAAACACAGTGCTAGCATGCTTCTATCTATCTAAACCACATAAAAGAAGTAAAAATTACCTATGACAGATTCTTAGAAGTAGCAATTGGAGCACAAGATAATTCAGGAAGAAAAGTTATCACCACCTCAGTGAACAGAATTTTGTAGGACAAACATATCAATAAAGAAAATAAAAGTGTAATAATCCATAGTTTGGAAGTATGGTAATGAATGTGAATATGAAAGACAGATGACATCAGAATGAGCAATAAGATGGGTCTTCTAAGCACAGAAGCCTGACGACAGACTCCAAAAACAAATAAATAAAAAGTAATAAATAGTCTTTATTATATATGTGAATACTGAGGACCAGGGCCAGTATTCTGGTCCTCGAAAACGCTGACCGCTTTTAAGTAGCTCGGCACTTTTAATGTTAATTCACCCAGAAAGACCGAGGAGAAGCTGGAGAGGCGGCATCGATAAGGAAACTACACATAAAATAAAAAATTCTTACATTTATTCCCATAACTTCCTCTTTTGGAGTAGCCTGTAACGGAGCATAATAATCCGGCACAGGTTGAAATTCCACTCTATAACCGCCAGTTTTGGTATCTCCGCTCCAATATTGCTCATCTATCGGTATCCAAAATACTTCAACGCTATTGGTAGTTATTGGCACTACTTTAAGACCACTTACAGGTTTGCTTGGAGCTAAAAACAATAATTATGAAGTTATGGAAATACTATTTAATATTCAGCTCCTTTGTTACCTGCTGGATATGTCCTAACTTCAATGGATTCAGGACTAAATCTGCTAGGACCAATATCATTGGTAGCTTGTATGCGAAAGCGGTAAGTGGTGTACGGTTTTAAATTTGTGACCGTATATGAGGTTAATTGGGGATCAACTCTTTCTGACAAAGATTGCCAAGGACCATTGCTTTCCATTTTTTGTACAGTATAATATCTAAAATTAAAGTTTATTCAATTTTAGTACAATTACATGATTTTAATTCCTATTACCTTAATGGTGCAAATCCATCTCGTCCTGGTGTCCAATTGAAGGTAATCGCCCTACTTTGTATCTGAGACCTACTAATCTGTGGTACAGAGGGTGGTTGTGGTGGTTCTCTATTATTTGTTGTATAAACCAAAGCATGAGCAGTTTTCCCCCAACCTAATCTTGTCTGAGCAGTTATAGAGAACATATAATATTTCTCAGGCTCCAATTGTGTAAATCTAAAAGTCCTACCCGAAGGCGGGAATTCTTTCGAGTATTTATTGTTTGTGTTGATGTTGTTGATGTGATAGGTAACTTTGTAAGCTAAAATTTCACCATTCGGTTCTTCAGGGACATCCCAAATTATTCTGGCAGATGTGAAAGATACATCGGGAAACGATACATTGGATGGCGCTCCTGGGACATCCTCGAACGTGCGTACACTTATAGCTGGTTTACTGGGATCGCCATCTCCCAATCTTGTGTAAGCCAATACCTAAATTTCAGAATGTATTAATCAGAACCAAATAATAAATTATGTATTCTTACCTGGACATGATATACAACATATTTCCTTAACTCTGTGAGTGTTGTAGTGAAAGTAGAGTTGTTTGGTATAACTTTATAATCTACAGAACTCTTCGTATCTGTGGCATAGTACACTTTGAAACCTTCAATTAGGCCGTTTTGATGTTCTTTTGGAACGTCTCCCCATTTTACTACCACTGTGGTTGAGGATGTGGCATTTGCCATTACATTCAATGGACCAAAGGACGGTACTAAAAAGAATACCTTTGTCATTGTCTACAAACATTATTGAGTAATGATGGAGATATTGGAAAAGCCATTTAGAAAAATCCCACAATTTTCTTTGCATAAATCACTAATCTAATTGGATATTGATTGAACCTAAGTATATCAGGTAAAAATTGTAATATTTATTCAACCGCAGCTAATAAAGACAAATGGAAATACTGGGAAAAGTGTCGATTCTATATATAATGACATTTTAATCTAATAGCAAGTTTTTTAAAAACAATTTTCTGGAAATTTTAATTTTTCAGCATTTTGAGCAATCTGGCTTTTTAGGCCTATTTAGGCATTGCTTATTTTTGCGTATAGAAATTAATTTTTTTTAAATATTGGAACAAATGTACTTTGTTTAGAATGAAACAGAGTGGGCGTTATTTCGACCCAGTTTTACAAATTTCGATTGGACGCTTTCACGGCGTTCATCGGTAGTTGCTTATTTTACTGCTTTGGAGGGTCTGAAATGGCAGTAGATAATTGGTTATTTTGTTTTTCTTTTTTAACTCGTACATTATTCACAGTTATATTGTTCATATGCCATATTTTTCATATCGCCTCATCCATAATATTTTTGTTGTTTTTCCTCGTCAAGAAATGTTTAAAGAAAAAAGTTTCAGACACAGACATAGAATATCCCATAGCCTGTATTCACTTTAGACTCAACGAACAGCAACATACACTTATCGGAACAAGCCACAAAGAATATAAGCACAGATTAAATTTAAGAAGCATTTTCAAAAATGTTTGTTCGTTTCTACACAATAGGCTTGCCCGGTTTGTTGGAAGTAAAATTTCAATTCAGTGCGACGCTCCTCATAAGAATAAGATGCTTTATACAAATCTTGTACATTATTGTTATAAGTACAGAAAATTCTTACCTGATTCTCGGGTTCTTTCCAAAGCCTTAGGACCAGCCGAGGAGCACCCAACATCATTACAAGCCTGCATCCGAATTTCATAAAGGGCATATTCCTCCAGCCCGATAATAACATGAGAATTGGCTGTATGATCTTCAATGGTAGCGCTAAACGTATAACCAGTCCTTACTTCTTTGTAAGTAATGTTATAGCCTCTGGGATTTCCGAACCATTCAATTTGTTGCAAGGGCTATAAACAAATATTTGTTTTCAGCTACTATTAAAAAATATAAAGAGAAACAGGCAACTTACAATCCATCTCACTCTTAATTCTGTAGCGCTCATAGCTCGTACAGTTACATTTTTGGGAGGATGGGCCGGCGGTGCTTGGATTGTTTGAAATTCTTTTGTTGCTTCGGAGGGACTACTGGAGCCAACTACATTATTTGCAATCAAGCGTAATCTGTATAGAGTGAAAGGTACTAATCCAGTTACAGTAATAGTCGTAGCGTCAGGATCGCTTATTTCATAAACAGTGAACCAGGTTGCGTTTCTCGTAGTTTGGGCTTGCACAGTCCATTTTGCTATTGAAGAATTTCCATCGAATCCTGGAGTGAATTGAAGTACCACCGAGAAAGCTTCTATATTTGAAAGAGCAAGTTTAGAGGGTGGATGTGGTAGTACTGGTTCCACTCCTGATTGAATAATAGCGACCTGGAAGAACAATAATTGGTTTTTGGAGTGCCCCTATCGGAACAAATGCAAATAATGAATTGCTGCACTAACAATTAACTTAAATTTTCATTGACAATGACGACAAAAATGCTATTTGCAGGTAAACACAAATATATTTGTATCTAATTTTTTTGATCAAATTTGGATGACGCTAGTAGTTACTGAAATAAATATTAAATACTCAATAAATTCTGACAAGAGCAAGTAAGCTTTTGTTTAAACGATGGAACAAACAACCATTTAACAAGAAAAGGTTCTTGTGGAAAAGAATACATCAATAGACTTATTATAGTAGGAGTAGGTATCGTAGATTTTGAAATAGCTTTTGACTCCTTATATCAAGAAAAACTTGTCGAAGCGCCCGTCAAATGTGTCATATAGCACCGATACTCCACCCACAGTATTGGATGTATTTATAAAACAGCAACAGGACAAACACAAACAATTTAAAATAGAGAGAGGACTAGGCCAAGAAGATACGCCTTCAGCTAAATTATTCGTCACACTGCTTCAAAGCGTGCTATAAGTGGTTTAAACTGGAAGGAAATGGGAGTAAAAATCGATAAAGAGAAGTTGAATTACCTTTGCTTTGGCGATCACATTGTTCTAGTGACAGACAAATTTCAAGAACCACAGCTCATGACAAAAATGCTCAATAAAGAAGCCAAAGAGTTAGGGTTGAAAATAAACCCAGTTTATGACGGCTCTTTTTCCACATAAACATAGATCAGGTATATAAAATATCACCATTCAAGATAGTCAAGTCTGAACCACAAGACAAAAGTAAGAGGTGCTGTGGAAACCATTTTGTATCTAAATTGGAACTGATTGGGGATATGTCGCCAGAATGAGGCAAACAGGTGACGAAGAGGATTATTATAGAGTCAAAGATAAGACACATTGCAAAATAGACGAAGCTCTCCAACTTGTTGGACAGACGACATGAACAGAGTCGCTGAAAACTGGATACTTTGGATAGATGCGATTGGTGAACTGTGAGAGATGCTTTTGTCCAGCAGCGGACAGGATCATCTGACAATCTGACTTTGATGATGATGATAATATGACGATCTTTCTAATAAAAACTTATTTTTGTTAAGTATGTTTTCAAATTAAAAAAATAGCATAGATCAGTTATATAAATATGACTCTTCAAGATAGAATTCTATACCACGAAATAAGGAAGACAAAATACAGAAGTAAGGGCCTCACACAGCTCTGACTGAATTTTAAACCGACGATGAGACACGAAGGTTTTCTACCACACACTTCGGTTTTAGATCGTCGTGTTTCATCGCGGCGATGAAAACCGACGAGAAAAGGCAGTGTGTGGGGCCAAAGGCCCCACACACTACGTCCTTTCTCGTCGGGTTCCATCGTCGCGATTAACAACTTCGTGTCTCATCGTCAGCCTGTTTCCACTACACACTACGCGATTTTTTGGCAGTTGGACTCACATACAACGGTTTTGGAACGAAATGTTGAACCGTCGTGCCAAAAATTAAGTTCGGACTGAATTTTAAGCCGACGGTTTTCTATCACACACTTCGGTTTTGGAACGACGTGTTTCATCGTGGCGATGAAAACCGTCGTGTTTCATCGTAGTCTGTGAGGCCCTGTAGAAAACCGTCATGTTTTTCTATCACACACTTCGGTTTTAGACGACGTGTTTCATCGTCAGCCTGTTTTCACCACACATTACGCGATTTTTTGGCAGTTGGACTCACATACAACGGTTTTGGAACGAAATGTTGAACCGTCGCGTCGTGCCAAAAATCAAGTTCGGACTGAATTTTAAAGCGCCCCATACACTAAGATGAAACACGACGGTTTTCATCGCCCCGATGAAACACGTCGTTCCAAAACCGAAGTGTGTGGTAGAAAACCGTCGTGTTTTTCTACCACACACTTCGGTTTTGGAACGACGTGTTTCATCGCGGCGATGAAAACCGTCGTGTTTCATCGTAGTGTATGGGGCCCTTAAGGGCCCCACACACTACGTTCTGTCTCGTCGGTTTTCATCGTCGTGTTTCATCGTCAGCCTGTTTTCACCAAACACTACGCGATTTTTTGGCGGCTGGAACCACATACAACGGTTTTGGAACGAAATGTTGAACCGTCGTGCCAAAAATCAAGCTCGGACTGAATTTTAAACCGACGATGAAACACGACGGTTTTCTACCACACACTTCGGTTTTGGAACGACGTGTTTCATCGTGGCAATGAAAACCGTCGTGTTTCATCGTAGTCTGTGGGGCCCTGTAGAAAACCGTCGTGTTTTTCTATCACACACTTCGGTTTTAAAAAAGGGCCCCATACAGTACGTTCTTTCTCGTCGGTTTTCATCGCCGCGATGAAACACGTCGTTCCAAAACCGAGGTGTGTGGTAGAAAAACACGACGGTTTTCTAGAAAAACACGACGGTTTTCTACCATACACTTCGATTTTGTAACGACGTGTTTCATCGTGGCGATGAAAACCGTCGTGTTTCATCGTAGTGCATGGGGCTCTTTTTAAACCGACGGACGATGAGACACGACGCTTTTTTACCACACGCTTCGGTTTGAGGTGCTATGGAGACCATCCTTTACCAAAAGTAGAACTGGTTGGGACATGTGGCCAGAATGGGGAAAAATAGGAAGACGAAGATCAGCTGCATTAAAAAATAGATGAAGTTCTAGAATTGCTGGACACTGGATAATTGTTGTTATCCAGTCGATAGGATCAGCTTAAGATGATGATATTCTCATAAAAACATACTTTCGTGAAGTGTTTTTCACTTTTTGTGAGTGTAAAAGAAGCAAAAATTCACACGCCTGAAAAAGCAGTAAACAGATTTTCATTTAGATTACCAGAACCATAAACACGTTACCTTCAAATCCAAATCAAAAAGTTTTAATTAAATATTAAAAGTTCTTACCTTAGGTGGTCCATGTCCGACAGCAGTCCAAGCAGTAACTTCAAATCTATAATGCGTCGTGGCTTGCAACTCCGTAATTTTCTCACCCAAAGTATCAGCCGACAAATTCCTAACTTTTTGAGTTTCTGGCATATCTTTAACTTGATACTGTATTTGATAGCCTGTCAAAATACCGTTGATTTTCTTCGGAGGTAGCCACAAGACTTTTACGGCTCTATCGCTGATGTCGTCAAATTGTAAGCTTGAAACTTCGTCAGGAACATCTTCCATAGTCTTTATGTAAACATAATCGCTAATTTCGCCGTCTCCAGGATCGGTGAAGCAGAGCACTGTTATATTGTATTCTGTGAATTTTTCCAAGTGGGTCATTAAAGCTGTTTGTTCAGCGTAAGGGTCTAACAAGTTAGGATGAACTGTCATCATACTGGCTTCTAAGTGTCCTCTGGTTGAATGCCAGCGCCATGCTTGGATTTTGTAACCTAAATTAACAAGTTTTTTTTAAATAATGTGGATGCTTATACTAGAGAATCTTCTTTACCTTGATTTATTCCATTAATTTTTTGCGGATCAGGCGGGATCCACCAAATTTCAACTGCAGTAGAATTGAGAGCTTCAACTTTCTGAATTATTGGCGGCGCTTCTGGCACACCCTCTTTGGTTTTGATTTTTGCCCCATCAGTGAAAACACCCACTCCCTTGTTGTTGTAGGCAGCAATTTGCACTACATAGTCTTTCCAAGTAATTAAGTCCGTAATTAAATAATTTCGTTGAGCCTAAACAAATTTTTTTTTTCAATAGTAAATCTTGGATTTAAAAAAATAGACAATATTTTCTTACTTCATTGGTAATATTTCTGATAGTCCAAGGACTATCATTGTAACCATACAGTCGATAACGTATAATGTAACCTAGTATAATTCCGTTCCTGTGTTCCTCTAAAGGTGGTTGCCATTGAGTAATAATTTCCGAGGAGCTCCTTGCGGAGCCTACGAATCCTACAGGTGGTCCGGAGGGCGCTAGCAAAAGTTCAGCATTTATTTAATGACGTGGAGTATTTTGATAATAAAACATAAAAATGGATAAAAGAAAGAAGCTAGAAGACATACAACATATTTTGAATAAACATTTGACCATGTGATTACATGCTGATGTCGGTGCTAACAAGAATAGGTCATAACTAAAAATATTTACCATGCTTAACAAGGTTTCTTTATAATATAAATAATTACAGTTCAGTGATATAAATTCCAGATTTATTTAGAAACTAGAAAGTTAGCTTTCGAATGCTTCAATAATTAGGTATCACATTTAAAGCAAGAAATCATTAATAGGCTTAAGAATCCCCTTTTTTTGAAATCGGTAATTTCTATATTGCTGATGTACTTTTAGCGCCAATGCCGTTTTAGTTGAAATTTAAAAAAATCTTTTCACATCGCCTCACTACATATTTTACGAGGTACACTTTTGCGATTGTGACACAAAGAAAACCACAGAGACGCCTGAACTGGAAAATTGCTTTCTTCATAAATCACAAGGGAATAACTTGGACAATAATATTAAAAAAAAGTGAGGTATTCTATAATTTGATGTGACAAAAATAATGTTTTTGCTAGTGAGTAATAGATTAACATCATGCAATTCACATATTTGTTGCGGACAAATGAACAGTTTCTCAAATTAAAACAAGAAAATACAGCATTTCAACAATCATGCAATAAAAATCGATTAAACACCAATTCACATCCCACCTTTAAACAGAAATGTATATGAGCTGCCTGCATGATGAAAAATAAAAAAAATAAAAACAAGTTACTGTTTCCTAAATGGTACCTACATACAAAACATGTATGCAATTTTGATTTAATTCAGGTAAATAAAATTTAATTTAGAACAAATAAATTGAAACCCTATTATTATATTATTCAAATTATCGAAATTGATTTGGACTGTTAAGAAGTTAATACGCAGGGTTAATTTAATTAACAGATTTCATTAAATATAAGTACTGGTAATTAAAATAGGGAATTTAATTATTATAATAAATGCGTTCAAAAATTTATTATATAACCAGTTTATGGTAATTAGTGGAATCGGCTTTTGGGGCAGAACATATAATGAATGGGCATTATTTGTAAGAGCAAAAGGTAGTGCAAATAAATTTACTTTTCTAATTTGATTTAAATATACTTAGGTCGCAAAATAGAAAATATACATTGCGTAGAAACCTAAATTCAATTACGTAGTTCAGTTTAACATTAATAAATATAGTTGTTTGGTTTTGGCACGAATCTCATTAAACGCGTTTGAAAGGCAGTCTCATGCCGGAGTTCGCACTCATTCCAGTTCTATAGTTTATAACATCCTAATTGAAACACCTCGAACATCTCATACAATTCAATTTACTAGTAGTTCACATTGAAATAAACTCCAAAATATTTATTTAACGCCTCTTGTCTATAGTTAACAGATTTGTTTTTCACTTTTGTTAGTTTAGTAAAGAGAAAATTATAATTTGATGCCAGAATTAAGCGAGTTTGGTGAGGAGCCAGTTAATTTTTTTTTATTAGTGATTTTTCCCACGAAACATTGATAGATTTTTTCAATGATTTTCTAATCCTAAGCATTATTTTTTATATGCATCGGGGAAAATAAGTTTTTACGTAACATTCTTTCATTTCATATTGTCTACTGTAATGTGTGTGATTCCTGGTCCCGCCGGGACTCTTCTCAACTAATTTGTAATTTTCCATTAGTTGCTAGGAGTAAATACAAAAAAGTTGCAAGCTTTTCATGGTAAGTATGGGTAATATAAAAAAAACTACTAAACAACATACCTTCTTGTGGCAGCATCACTTGGTTGCTCGGCTCTGATGGACTGCCTTCACCGACACTATTCACTGCGCTGACTCGAAATTGATACGAAGCTGCAGCTTTCAAGTTTGTAAGTAAAGCCCAACGTTGATCGCCAGAAACGTTACTTAGCTCAGTCACCCAATTGAGTAATGGGTCTGGAATAGGACCTGTAATGGGAGGAACTTATGAAACACAATAAAACTGTTTGGGTGTAGGGGTGGGCTGAGATATAATGGAAAATTATGTTGCTGAGCATGCGATTTTCATTTTAAAAAAAATCTTCATTTTGTTACTTTGGAAGAATGTTGACAGGTTTGCAGATAGAGCTTTGATCACTGTTCAGGTATAATACTAAAAAATTGAATATGCGCATCAAATGTCTTTATACAGGGTGTTTTCTAATTGAATGTCAATATTTAAGGGGGCGATTTTAAGGTCAATTAGAAGAAAACTTCATATGAACGTATGTTCCAAACGTCTTAGCTTTTGAGATACAGAGTAATAAAGTTTTCAAAAAAAAAAAAACTTTATTAGTAACATTCTGTAACACTACTTTAGATATTTTAAGGAAATTTGGCATACGTGTATCATCGTCACCAGAAGTACCTAACTGGGACAGCATCATATTAGTTAGCTCTTGTACTATTATATAAATTTTAGTGTCAAATATTTGTCAAACTATGAATTAAATGCATTTAAATGAATGATGGTAGAATTAGTCCAGAAGAATAATATGATTTTTTTTTCCCAGATGATGTCCCATGACGATGGTACCATGTGTCAAGAGACATTTTCTAATCGGACGGAATTTGACCTGCCTATTTTGGCAACATGACATGGATAATACGCCACTGATTTCTCTTGAAATAAAAATTATTCTTGAAATCCCCGATCATTTCTAAGCAAAGTTGATCAGTTGATTTTTTACAATCCCATGCACGGTTTTCCCTTAAAAAAAATAAAAACCGTTTCTCTGCATGATTTTAAAAATATCGCTCATATGACTTGTCATGTAGAGAAACACTATCACAGAAACACCATAAGCAGCCATTTTACAAAACCCTGGCGAAAGGCAGGGCGCAAAGACCATTGACACTTAAAAAACCAGACGGTTGTTACATAAACCACATGTCAAATTTTTGACATGACGCTTCCTAGATAAATAACTACCTAATTAATGATTGTCATTGTCATTAATTGTCATTTCAAACCATGAATTCATTTTAATAAATCTTGACATTTTTTCAGGTTTTGATATAATTTTTCGGGGATAATACCACATAGCACATACCACGAGAGCTTCAAAATTACGGATAATTTTTCACGATTGAAAAATGTCCCAATGAAACCTATTGAGATATTTCATCAAATTCCATCAAGCCGTTTTCTCAATCGGGCTATTACCATAGCTTCCTAACTAGGAAGCTAAAAATGAAGAGCAACGAGCTGCTCTACTACTGGAAACTCATTTTCCAGGAAGCACACCCAATGATACTGAAGAGAACAAAGGGCGGCCCAGGAAAACCAGGCAAGAAAACTAGGAGGTTGCCAAGAACCTTTGCACACCTCAGCGACTTACTTGGTCGATCAACACGTTCCAACCGTTCAAGTCGCCTGGAGTTGACGGCATCTTTCCAGCCCTGCTGCAAAAAGGGCAAAATGAAATCATGCCGTATCTAATCAAACTCATCAGATACAGCTTAGCGACCGGATACATACCCAGTCAATGCAGAAAAGCTAACTTTCATCCCAAAGGCAGGGAAAAGAGACGCCACTCTTCCGAAGTCGTTCAGACCTATGTGCCTCACATTGTTTTTGCTTAAAACAGCTGAGAAAGTTGTGAATAACTAGATCAGAACAAGTGTTTTAGAAAAAACATCACTAAATCCTAGGCAGCATGCTTACAGAGCGGGCAGATCAATAGAAACCGCTTTACTTGAACTCACCAACAGCATCCAAAGCACATTGCATAATAAAGAAGTAGCCGTCTGCGCCTTTTTGGACATAGAGGGGGCATTTGATAACACCTCTCATGAGTCAATAAAGAATGCGCTTTTCAAAAAAGGAGTGGACAAATCCAGATCCACTTGGATGTACGAAACGCTAGCCACCAGAACTGCAGAAACCGACGAGGGTGAACAAACTATACAGCTCACCACCACTAGAGGATATTCGCAGGGAGGGGTACTCTCACCTTTGATGTGGAGTCTAGTGGTTGACCACCTCCTAAATTTATTGACCGATTAGGGCTTCACCTGCTTTGGATACGCCGATGATATTGTCATCATGACCAGAGGCAAATACGAAAGGAATACTCTGCGACCTTATAGAAAAAGTATTTCGAACCACGAAGGAATGGTGTCAGACAGTGGTTCTGAATCTAAATTTAGCAAAAACCACACTGGTAACATTTACAAAAAGAACGAAACTCCCAAACCTGAGAAAAATTCGCCTCGATGGAAGCCGACTTTATTGGAAAAAAAGAGGTTAAATTCCTAGGAATAATCCTAGATTCTAAACTTCTCTGGAATCGACATGCAGAGAATACAAAAAACAAAGCAATCTCGGTACTCATATGGTCTGCAAAAACATTGCGGGTAAAATATGGGGCTGTAACCCATCAATCCTAAGATGGATGTATACCATGATAGCGAGACCTATCATCACGTACGGAGCGGTAGCCTGGTATAGCCAAACCCAGTTAATAACAGCTGGGAAAACATAAAACACCACTCTACATAATGGTGAAGCAAGTTGTCAGTGGATCATGTCTCAGACTGGAGAAGATAGGTCTACAAAGGAAAACGCACCTTGGCAGAACTTTTCCCTTCCCAAACTGTGCACACCTCATGGATCTACCTAAAGACGTGATTGTTGATAAATTCAGTTTCGAGAAAAACTTTTCCATCGAACTAAGTACACAGATGGAACATGGAATCTATCCAATCCCTTAAAGAAAACACCATCAAATGGTACACAGACGGTTCCAAAACTGCTGAGGGAACTGGAGCCGGAGTATTCGTGCCACGGACCAAATACTCGGAGCCAATGGGTAAATCACCAAGCATATTTCAAGCGAAAGTTCATGCGATCGGAAGATGCGTGCAGTTTAACCTGAACAGAAGTTATCGGAAACTAGAGATTGTAATTGTCTGACAGCCAAGCAGCTATCAAAGCATTGAGATCCCCGGTCATTAATTCTAAGACAGTATGGAAATGTCTACAGAAACAAAATAAACTAGGAAAACAAAACAGAGTTACCCCGCTCTGGGTGCTCGGACACAGGTGTCGAGGGCAACGAATGCACAGATAGACTCGCAAGAACGGGAGCGTCTACGCCCTTCACTGGGCCAGAACTATTTTGCGACGTCGGAAATGCGCACCTCACACAGACAATGGCTAGAATAGCCAGGACTACGACAAGTCAAAGATCTATTGGGTAACTTCAACCAAAAAAGATCAGAGCTGTTGGTCAACCTTAGCAAGAAAAATCTCAAGACTCTAACCGGGTTTCTCTCAGGACATTGCAGACTTAAGAAACACCTATAGAAGTTGGGGTTAGAAAAAGTTGGCACCTGCAGATTCTGTGAAGACGGAGAAGGGACACCTCACCATCTTCTACTGAACTGCGATGCCCTTAGTCGCTCAAGGATGAGGAACCTGGGAAGTGACCTTATACAGTTGGAAGACATTCCAGCCCTGGAACCGATAGACGTACTAAAATTCCTAAGGGACCTAGGACTGGAGGGGCTGCTTTGAGCGGGAAACCCGAACTTAGCAGCAGAAGGAGGGGTAGAATAGATCAACACACACAAACACACACATGTAGAGAAATATGTTTTATTTTTTTAGGTGCGTCGGATTGTAAAAAATCAAGTGATCAACTTGGCTTAGAAACTATTGGGGATTTCAAGAATAATTTTAATTTTAAGAGAAATCAGTAGCGTACCATCAATGTCTGCCATTGACCTCTAACCTAGAATAGACACCACAAGTCATTTATTTCGAAATTTTGTATCCTGCCGTGGCGAGTAAATTGTATCCTGTATCCATTTATTCTGGGTTATAGTAATGATACACGTGTTATTATATTTTTGTCTCTTGTCACTTGTACCTTGTATTTTTCATTTATTTTCAGTCTAAGCAAGCTAAAAACAACAATTATTGATTCGGCAACCACACTAATGTTCTTTACCGAAAATGAATGAAAAATGTGTACGATATTCCAACAACGTTGCTGGTTTGATTAGTAGAGTAGCGTCTTCGAGAATGGTTACTGTTTTCTCCAATGACATTTTCCTAAGTTTCTTTGAATATCCAAATTCGAAAAAAGATAATATAATCAGAGAAAACAGTTTCTCGGTCATTTCATGTATGCGAACTGTGATCACAATTTTCATTTACGTCCTGATATTATTATTTTCTGTCGATATGGCAATCGCGCCGTATTGTTTGTAAATACCAGGTATTTTTTTTTTTATACATTTATGATTTCGATAAGGAAAGGTTGTGATGTCTATCCTTGGTTAGAGGTCAATGATGTCTGCCAAAATAGGCAGGTCAAATTCCGTACGAACGCCACTGGTGGAAATAGAAAAAATGTGGTAGATATATTGCATTGACCTCTAACCTAGGATAGACATCACAACCTTTACCTTAATGAAATCATAAAATAATGTACCTTGGTATTTACAAACAATACTGCGCCATTGTTATATCGAAAGAAAATAATATCGGGACGTAAATGAAAAATGTGATCACAGTTCGTATGATTTCCTGAACAAGTTTGAATATCTAATACATGAAATGACCGAGAAACTGTTTTCTCTATGTTGGAGTATCGTATGTACCGGGTGTCCAAATAAGAAAGGACGCCGGCTATATCTCAGGAACTATTAGTCCTAGAGCTTCCAAGTAAAATTTTTTTCGATAAAATAGGCCATGAAAATTGCTGGAAATAATTTTCAAGTTTGTAAGTTGACCGCTAGAGGGCGCAGCGAACACTCGAAAACATAATACTGTGATTATCTAAAGGTACACTAAAGGTATTCTAAAAATATGATTATTGAAATCTTGATGAGATTACGAAAAAATTTTGTTTTTTGCCCTAATTTTAAAATTTCCGAGAAAAAATGGAAAATTTTCGACTTTTAGACACAGTGCCCCCTAGCGGCAACAAAACAATTTAATTTTGATATTTTTGTTATGCATTTTATTGAACAGAAAAAAACTCTTCCAAATTACACCCGATTTATTGAAATCGGTTGAAAAACCTTCCCCCACCTCTTATTTGAAGAGTTAGGGCAAAAAATCGTTAACAAATTTTTTTCGTAATTTCATCAAGATTTCAATAATCATATTTTTAGAATACCTTTAGTGGGCGTTTTTTGAAGATAATCACAGTATTATGTTTCCGAGTGTTCGTTGCGCCCCCTAGCGGTCAACTTACAAACTTGAAAACTATTTCCAGCAATTTTTCATGGCCTAATTTATAAAAAAAAAATTACTTGGAAGCTCTAGGACTAATAGTTCCTGAGATATAGCCGGCGTCCTTTCTTATTTGGACACCCGGTACATATTTTTCATTCATTTTCGGTAACGAACATTAGCGTGGTTGCCGAGTCAACAATTGTTGTTTTTAGCTTGCTTTTGGAGTGTATGGCAAGGTTGCTTGGAAGCCATGTTGCCAAAACAAGATAAATTTTCCTAAGATCCTGTTCCTGATTGTTGGCAGTGTATTTTTAATTTTATGAATGACTTGTGGTGTCTGTCCTTATCCTAGGTTAGAGGTCAATGGAAAAATGGCTATTGATACATAGTACATGAATACCAAATTACATTGAAATATCGAAAGTGGTGTTACAGATAATAACGACAGATGATTTGTTTTTGAAAACTTTATCACCCTGTATCTCAAAAGTTAACAAGTTAGGACATACGTTCGTAAGAAATTTTATTCTTAAAATGTACCCAAAAGAACACCCTGTATTTGTAATTATATAGTTATATCCATTGATGGAAAAAAAGAGATTGTACATTAAAATTATATTTTTTAGACTGAAAGTAACTTTCCTTAAATAAATATACTATGTTTTATAATTACAATAAACAAAAATGTAAATAGAGTAGTAGTAAAGAAATCCACAAAAGAAGCAAACTCTCAATTTATGTCAAGGATTTAAATTAAAAACAACATAATGTGTGTGTAAAAGAACAAATTAATTAAACGAAAATGGTAAAATACTTCCAGAACTGAACAAAATATCCCGGAAACAATAAAGTTCCTGGACAAAAAACAAAACAAGAAATAAAGCTCCCAACTGAAAACCAAAATGCCTTTTTTTTACAGCATGCTCATGCAGTTAAACAATGTTTTTGTGTTTTTTTTTTTTGTTAGTTTAAAGGTTATTGTTAGTGCGGGTCTTATTAGGGGTGTTAGTGGAAATTGTTTTTGTTTAGGTTAAATGGAGGATTACACGAAAGTAGAAAATGGGATATTTTGAGTAATAAAGTAGGAGTTTTGTTTAAAATTACGTCGGGAGATATAAAGAAAATAAAAAGCATTCTTTTTTCGTTATAAATTGTATAGTTTTAGAATTATTGTCTAAAAACTGTTCTGAATTGAACTCAAACAACTAGCTAATTTTGACTGCGCAAACTCCGGACAGTTTTAAAACAAATCATTTGCAAAGTCCTGAATAAAGCTAATGGGTTTTATTCAAGTTTTGACATCATTAAAACTTCTTGTGAGTTTTCCTGTCTGAATATTAAAGTTAAATGCATTGGAATCCTTTTATACTATAAAAAAATAGACTTTTTCGTGATGTTTATTAAAATATTGTTGTTTATTGAAAAAACAAGATAGGTAATCGCCAACACGAAAGCAGGAAAATTAAAGCGAAAATCCTAAATAACTTTAAATATTTTGATAAAAGCTGGCGATTTCATTACAGATGGTTTTTGGTTTAGTATTAACATAAAGTCAGTGCTATTGACTCTTTGCTGAAAAATTTGTATAGGTTGGCTCCTGTATCTAAACATCAGTCTAGGAATGTTATTGATTTCAACTAGGACAGTCAAGGATATATCATCCTCTGGATCGGCATCCATTGCTTCAGAAATAAACCCAATCACCTATTACATTTTTGATGCTGACTCGCCAAACTTTTCCAAAAGAAATATTATACGATTTTGTTTATTAACTACTTTTGAGGAGATTATGTAAAGGAATATATGCTGGAAATAGCTTGCAATTAAGCATAGATATAGAGAGTAGATCTAAGTTTAATATACGTATCTATATGAGTTTAGTAAGACATTCAATCAAACGAAGGATTAGATTTAGTTCTACAATGAATGAAATAATGGTAAAATTGTAAGCTTCCTACAAGCATTTTATTGAATATATAACAACATGCTGTATTACCTATTACAAAAAGTAAGCAATTTTTAATAGACCCTTTAAGACTCAAAATAAATGATGAATTAGTGAAGTAAAGTATCACAAAAACAATGTTTAACTAAAAGAAAAGGGTAGCATAAGTAAATCATTAAAACTTACCGAATTCAGGAACTTCTCTTTTTTGAACGATATACTGTTTTATAGGACTGTTACCATCGAACCCCGGCGTCCAACTGACATTCACTGCCCTCTGACCACCATCGTCAGTTCTAAAAATACATCTTTTGTGAAAACATAATTCCTGTTAGCAAAAATTGAAATTACCTTTCCGCTTTAACATTCGTAGGAGCAAACGGCAGTTCTATGACGCTCAATTTCGCGGACCTCGTCTCGTTTCCTCCTGGAGATCGTACCGAGCACGTGTAATGTCCGACATCCGAAGCTCTGACCGCTTGGATTTCCAACATTCCGTCTTCTAATATATTGATTCGTTGACTACCTCTTGGATTAATCATCCTAAAAAAAATATACGAAAAATCCATAAACCCATTAATAATTTATTATGCTTTAACGATGCCATCGGGCATTGCATCGCTGTGTAATTATCGTTACAAAAAAAATATGTCCTGGCCTTTTAAAGATAATTAATTTTTCAAGTAAATGCTTTGATAAAAAAATCCGAGTTACAAGTTTTTTTTTTAAATAATTATCATGCAAAAGAGTATTTGATATACTTAGCTATAATTGACTCAGTGGTGAACCCTGAACTTTTTAAATTACCCCAAAACCTTGGCGTACTCTACAACTATTATATTTTTACAATCAGACTACAGTTTTAGGGCATATTATGAAACGCCGGCGAAATTTTAGGCTTATTGACAAAATGATAATATTTTGAAACCATGGAATTCTGAGAAAATAGGAGGAGTACCTATGTGATATTTCAACAATTGCCTGGCACAATAGAGAGCCGGGTAATATAAGATCCCCTAATGTATTGTTTCGTCACGAATATATGCTGGATATCGGTGGAGTGAACAAAGTCCAAAAAAAATTCTTGTGATAAAGATGAACTCAGTTTTATTGTACCTTACAAAGGATTTTAAGAGAAGTTGAAAAATGTTTACGTGGGTACAGGCCATTGGAGGTTGTGATAACATGATAAATGCTCTTAAACCAAAATATGCAATACCTACGACCAATAGTCGAAGTTTTTATCAAATTGTGTAGAGCTGGTGACTTGTGTGACAGTTTACAAAAAAAGGAGCGGTCGTCAAGCCCATACTTTCCAGAAGTTGGAGAGGGCTTAAGCGGCCACTATACATAGTTGTTGAACTACCAGGATCACCGCTAGAATCGAAGTTTGCACTTGATCTTTCACCAAAAATTTTGAAAATATCTCTAGAATTTGTTGCTCCCAGCATCTTACATAGTTTGTCAACGTTATATCAAGGATTTCGTCTCAAAAGATGTCTAAAATCAAATTTTACCTCATATCTAGAAAAATATGTGGGAATTAAATTAATTATTCGATATTTTATGTCATGGGAATTAAATTCACTAAAGGATTCCACTCTGCACGAACACTCAGACTGCGCAAGTTCCTTATTTTTACTCCGGCCGGCGTTGAATTCCTATGTGCACGTTTTGCTAGATTGGAGTAAAGCCTCAAGTAACTAAGCATCTGAAGGAACTGAATGAGCAGAGTACACACGAAAGAATTGAATTTCTGTCGCTTGTCGCTAAATTGGTATTGCTCAAAAGGATTTACTTGTTTGTCAATGGATACAGAGATTTGTATTGTTCGCATCGTCTCTGGGAATTTACGTAACTTGCGGTGCAGGTCTAATTATAATACTGATGCGGTGTTTTATAAAATGTAAATTGCTTCTTGAGTCGCCTGTAGCTTAAAAGTATTTGGAGCGAATATGAATTTTCAAAAATAATATTATCTAGCAAATCTAGGAGCTTTATATTTTAGTAGAGCTTTTTGCAGACAAAGTTTTAAAGCGGAACAACCACATCATCGCTCATGCTCAATGTTAACCCCTGAGAACACTAAAATATCTCAGGTACAGAGTTAACGGCTTTGAAAGGAAAAGAATCCTCCCCTAGTATGCTAGAAATAATCCAGATTTTGAAATAATGTGACCCACTTAGACAGCATAAAGTATTTTCATAAAAGTATAATTTTCTATTTTCATCAAATTTATGTTTGCCTTACTACTAAGAAATTTTCTAGAGTTCTGTTTGTCTATGCAATATAGAAAAAACTTCAAACTTCAGTGGATTGGAATGAAAGCAAATTTTGTATAAAACTGTTTGGGAGGAAAAATTAAGAGCAATATACAGGGTTGTCGTTATGTATGGAAACGGCCCAATATTTCAGAATGCACTTAAGAAAAATGTATAATATTTCCTACCTGGGGGTTTTTGGGAATGCCCGATTCAATGGTGGTATTTGTAATGTTGCCAAGTTTACCGTTTCTAAGATGTCGTATCTAACTTAATTTTTTTAAATGGAAGTCACTCTTTATTTTTATTGTAATAAATTCAGTGTCCCAACATCGGGCATTCCCAAAAACCCCTATATAGGAAATATTGCACATTTTTCCTAAGTGCGTTCTGAAATATTAGGCCGTTTCCATACATAACGACAACCCTGTATGTATATTGTGAAACATTTTCAATATCTCTTTGTATATTTATTTTACTAAAAAGTAATAAAATCCTGAAGTTAACAGAGAAAAAAGGGCTCTTCAAAATGCCGCTCAAACAAAAAATATCATAACATAAGTAAGGACAATTTATCAGCCATTGAACGCACGCAATCATGAATATCAAACCAAAATATCGACTTACTGTTTATCCCGAAACCAATCCAGCTTATAGGGCACGGCGGGATCCGATGAAATCTTGCATTGCAATGTGGCTGTATGGCCCAGTAAGACTCTGGTATCAACAGGTGGCTGGACAATTTGGGTTCGTACTGCAGTAATGAAAAAAAAAAAGACATTTATTGTATTAATCTAGCGTTTTGACCCAGAAAAAAACAAGCGTTTTTTGGCGAATTTGCGTGCCCGTTTAACGGTCGCGTGTTAAAATAAAATTAAACAAATCGACGGGATTTAGTCTTTTATTTTCCATAAATAATATGCCGGAAGGTATTTCGAAAGTGTTTTTCGCGAGTTTATAGGATTGCTTATCAGGGAATCTTAATGATCGATTTTTTTATTTCATTAAAGCCTTATAAAATAAATGGAGCATGCTCTTACCTAGGACTGACAAATGGGCTGATCCTCTGACTTCTCCAGCCTCATTAGTCCTAACACACGTGTAATGGCCGGCATCTTGCTCTTGGACAGCAGCAATTAATAAATCGCCTGTTTCCAATATTTGGACTCGACTAGAGGTGATTACTTCTTCTTGGCCTAAATAATAAAATCAGAAAAATAATTTTCAAATACATATGTACAATTTTGTATTTTTAGACAATGTATGACAATTAGTAGGTAGTCCGTTTTATAAAGTAACTTTCAATGCAAAACCAGAAACAAATCTTCTACTGGAAAACAATCTAGAACCAGGAGAAAGAGACATTCCTAAGTTTTAAAGTGTGCTATAGAATACTCAAAATACACTATTAAAAGTGGCGCTTTGCAAATCTCAACCCATTGAAATATAAAAAAATAACTAAGTTTTGTTCGAAACTGTAAAACTGGGTTAGGAAGTTCTGTTGTAAACTAAAACTATAATTAAGTAAGTAGGTACAGTTAAATAAACTTTACAGGGTAATATTGAAAATACTTATAATGCGGCATCCGACTCTTTTCAAATGAATATTCTGTGCCTGCCATACCAGATGTTTTTTCATTCTAGGTGAATCTGGGTTAGTCTCAACCCAAGATACTTTTAGCAAGAGAAATGAGTAGAATGATAATTTCAAGGGAAGAGTTAGTGGCTTTTTTATATATTTTTTTAAAGTCATTACATACTTTATAGGAATCCTTATTTTAATGGTAAAAGGTTTAGTCGACAAATTAAGTTACCTAACCTTTCGACACTGATCTGTAACATCATCCAGGGCTAAAATAGAAAAATAAGAAACATTTACGTTTAATCAAAATACGAACTGTAATAAATCCGTTCTCAGAAACAGCAGATTTTAACAAAAAATTAATTAGTTGTTTGATCTACGAAATGCCAACCATGGATGGGCAATGATCAGTGACTGTAATGTCTAGACACACAAAATCTCAATTTAATGTACCTCATCATAATAAATCTTAATAATCTAGTCAATTATTTAATCAGATTTGTTTTTCAAATGATTTTTAACTCTAAGAATGTGGGTGAGCCTCATCTTGGCGTTAAATTTGTTTGGACTTTCATTTTGAAAGTGGCTTTTTAATAGTTAAAAGGCTAAAAGTCCGTTGATTTTTTTATTAGCCATTAGGATGACACAGATCAGTTTCAAAACATTGGCTTAGTGTATTCATATTTTTCAACAAAACTGTCGAAAAAGCTGGTATTTATGGCCATGGTGCATTGATAAATATATGTTGTAATAAACACAATCATACAAAACTTTTTATCATCTGTTTTGCATATTATCCATTAGCGGCAATAACTATTTCCTGCTAGGTACGAAAGTTAAATTTAAATACTCAGAACTAAAACGCTTTACTTTAGAAACTTTACGTCAATGATTCACCTACTTCTGACTCTATTTATAAAACTTAAATTTCCTAAATAACTTCTGCAAAGTGAGAAAGTGCGATAAATTGCATACCTACTTTGAAAAGCAAGGGGCCTATTCATTTATGGTGGGCAGACTGTAAACATTATCTTTAGACTGTAATGTGGTTCAGTTGAAGAATTTATGGTTTACGCTTGGCTTGAAAATTTAAAGGATCAGTTACTTACCGTTAAAAATCCAAGTAACATTTGGCATAGGAGCTCCAGCAGCTCTACAAGTCAACGTAGCATCATTTCCATCTAACACAGTCAAATTTTTTGGACCAAATTCCATAACCGGCTGGGTAGCTAAAAACACAACACTTGGTATAAAAACGGCTAAAAACATCGTATTTTTTAACGTTTATTTCGGCGGTACACAACAACCCATCATGCATGGTAGAAAAATGCAAACAAAACACGAAAACGGTAAAGGTGTAATTTAGACCAGTCGGTGGTAACAAGAGGGGTGAAGAAGGGACGACGGTAGGTCGCCAGGTGGGCACAGGTAAACTCTGGTAGCCTCCGAATGGCATACAACCCTGTATACTTTAGTAGTTGTGATTAAATAAAATTCTCAGAAGTTGGGTTTTAAAAAGCCAAATCTAATCAGGTGCACAGGATTTAGTTGGTAATTGGGTTCTTCATCGGCTAGATCAGACCTAATTAAAACGATAAATAATAAACTTGCAATAAAATTCGCAAACTCATTATAATTGCCGCGACCTACAAAATATTAATTATATTTTCGAGCACTATTCCTCAAAATAAAAATTTCAATGGGCAACAATTCCTAAGCTAAAACTTTCAAAAGCCGAACTTTTGTTATTCAAGCATTTTCGAGAAGAATAATTAAATTTGGTGTTGGGCCAAAGGATCTTTGGGAATTAGGGAAAAAAATTGTGTTTTCTTAGAAATACTTTTGCATCCAATTAAAAATAGGCAATACCTATGTAAACAACGGTAAAAGGCAAAATAAATTACATATAGCTACTAAAAATAAACAACTGTAGATTAGGTATAAGGGTGCTACTGCTACAACTAAGTCTTTAAGATATCTGGAGCAAAATTAAAATATGTTTTTAAAACGTTATTATTTTTCCCTGTCTTCATGTGGAAAAATTTCTTTTATCTTACAAGCATGAGGTTTATGTTAAAATATTGAATAAACCGTTTTGAAGGATCATCTAAAATAGTGGTACAAAATTACACGGAAGCGCGAGTATTCAGGAATTCTATTGTTTGATTTAAATAGACAAGCATTTACGAGATCCTAGAAAATTGAAACAATGAATGATTTTCTTTCATATTCGCGATGCCTTCATTCAATGGTGATATTTACGAGATTGCCAAGTTTACCATTTTAAAGATTTGAAAACTTGTGTCGCTTATTATTACAAAACACAATCAAAATAGAAATTTGATGTTTGGATAAACATGACAACATTGCAAATGTCACCATTTAATCCAGTGTCCCCAATAGTCCCCCTAGTAGCAATGATGAAGTTTTTGTACTTTGAATAAAATGTGCCAATAAACACATCATGCTGTTGCTCTTGTTCATGTAAACTATAGCTTGTTCCTAATCTACTTGTGCTATAAAAGTGAAATGAAAACAAATATAAAAATAAAAACAATGCAATCAAGAAAATTTTATAGTATAGTATCTTACACGATGTCATGAAAAGAAAATTCTTTTTGCCGTGTCGCTCTCCGGAAGTTCTTAATCTCACTAATTTCGCAGCAATACTACGCGTATTTCTGATGTCTAAGGAAATAGTTAAAAAGGTAAGATAAATTTGTTATTTTTTTTTTTTAAATACAATTACAACTTGTATTACTTACTTTTAACTCTCAACCATGTTGTTGAGGAACTTTCCCCAGCCTTGTTCCTCGCAAAACATTGGAACATAGCGTCGTCGTCGATCGATAATTTTTTGATTAATAATGAATTGTCTTTTTCAACGACATATCTGCAAAAAAATAATTTTGTTTTTAAGACAATTCACCCGTCTCGCTGCAATAGATATACCAGAAACACAATCCTTTGTCATTTTATATATATTATATTCCTCAAAAGGTTAAATTCTGTCCGAATTGCATTCGCGTCTAGATACCTATACTTAGTTGCTTCGATTTCACTTCGCGTAACAGAAACATGAAATTTACTGAACTCATATTTCTTCAGCCCTTCAGGAAAGGTAACGTTATTTGTGTGTTTTCCATCAAAATAGATATGGCGCAAACGGACAAAGGATCTTGTTTCACTTGTTATTTAAGGGATTTTATTCTTCAGGCGAATAGGACAAAAATTGAAATAATCGCTAACCGAACAATATAAATATTTTATCTCACCGTTTGTCGTTCAAATCCAGTTCCTCAGAATTTTTGTACCACGTAATGTTAGGTTTAGGGATTCCAATTACGTCACATGGCAAGTTTAACTGCGAACCATATTCAGCTAAGGTTTCGGGTTTCGCATTGCTCAAAAATCTAGGCTTTTCCAGAACTGTGACCTGAAAATAAAATGAAATGTATTCCGACTCTATCGAAATTGTATGGTGAAAAAAATGATTTTTGAATTGAAAATGTCAAATTTTGCTAATTTTAGTAAAATTTGGAATGAACAGGTTATATAACATGAAATGCGCTACATGAAAGTTAAAGGACCGAAAAAATTCGACCGCCCGCGCTCTGTCTGCCGTCTGGTATACGTGAACAAATACAACTCCTTCGCATTATATGTTGTCTTTGTCTAGTTAACAGGCTATTTAGTATTTCTCGATCACCTTGGTAAATTTACTTCATCTCCCCCTCCAGGCGTCACCCTTGATCATCCGTGTGGTGGACTTTACTGTTACGAATGCGGGTTCTCAGATAAGTGCGACTAAGTGCAACTTACTCTCCCAAAACGTCATCATTATCATCATCTCCCATCCCTCTGCGTTCACTGATGGACATCTAGGCCATCTCTATAACTGGCCACTATTTCTTGTCTTGGACTGTCGGGATCTAGAAGTTAGTGATTCTTTTGATGCCATCTGTTCAGCAAATTGAAAGTCTTCTTTTGCTTGGGTTGTCTGCACGCGTGGTCTCCACCACCGGCGATGACCATGGACTATTAGATTCTTCTTGATGTTGTCCTTCAGCATTTCCTTAAACATGGTGTTAACTTGCTGTAGCTTTGCGAAAGGGAGTCTTCGTGGTGGTTGGCGAATGGGAGTAGCACTTCCTGTGTTGATGCGATGATCTACCAAATTAGTTCGTGCAGTAATTTTATCTTGCACCAAAACACCAGCCTCTTTCTGCACAAAATCAAAAGCTTTCTTCTTTTCTTGCTGGCCTAAGTGATTCCAGCTCTTTTCAAACTTCTCCAGAAGCTCTATTGATAAATGTGATTCATTTGATACAGGCTCCTTCTTTGCGCATCTCACTACTCGTATAGCTGGTATACATCTGCCACGTCTCCTTTCTTCAATGTCACACGGTTTGTTGTTAGATTGGCCACTCTCACTGGAAAAACATTGTTGGAATTCACTAAGCAATATGCCAAAAGTGTTCTATTCTGCATGTTTTCTGTTGGTCCCACGATCATGGTGTTCACGCCTTCTAATTGTTTTTCTAGGTGTGCCCGCACATTCCACTCACTATTTCCAGGAATTCGTGTATCTTCATCAAAGATTATTCTAATTTGACGGTCCTTATTTGTCGGTGATGAGAAGAGTATTTCTTCGTTGCCCACTCTCAACATTTTATTTTTAAAGTCCACTGATAGGAAATCAAAGGTTTCTAGGACACCCACTCCCAATATAAATTCATCCACTATGTCAGCAACTATCACTTCTACTTTAAGTTCGGTGCTGCCTATTCCCAATGTCACGGTGGTCTCTCCAAAATCATTTATCAAATCTCCCTTAGCTGTTTCTAGCAGTGGTTTATTTCTCAACATCATTACAGAGTCTTTAGACTTGATCTCTAGATCTTGATCTTGATGCCCCTGTGTCGATGGTCAAATCACATTTCTTGCCGTTGAGGGTGCCTTGGGCAACGAGACTTTCACAATTCTTCTTGATGGCCCTTTACTTTGGGGGCTCAGGAATCGGTGGTCGCCAGCATTCTCCCCCTTACACTAGCGAGGTGGCGTTTTTCCTGATGATGTCTGGAACCACCTTCTTCCTCCGTTTCACGATCTCCTGAGCGGGAACGTCGCCTACAGTTTCTGCTAATATGTCCTTCTCGGCCGCAGTTGTAGCATTTGATCTGTTTTCTGGCTCTTGGTTCTTGGTCTAACTTCGCGCAGAATTCCTGAAACAGCGCCTCCTGTTTTAGGAACATATCTGCGTCTGAGTTTGGGCGATCCTCTGCTATCTTCACTTCCCTGATCTTGCTTCTTCCATTTAAAGAGGCATTTTTGGCAGCTTCATATTCCAATGCATGGACAACGGTGTCAGCTAAGGTGTTATGCCTACTCATTCTCAGTGCTTGTTGCAGGTCTGTAATAATAAAGTACTGGACATTTATCTGTTCAATGAAGTCTTCAGGAGCTTGTGGATACGCCAATCTCACCATTCTCTCGATGTCGCTACTAAATTCATGCAGTGTCTCAGCTGGACCTTGGACTCAGCTTTTGAGATCACTCTGGTAGACTTGACCGAGATACCTGTTTCCATACCTCAGTTCTAAGGCTCCTACAACAGCTGCATAATCACTTTGTTTTGCCTCGGGAATATTTTAAAGAATTTCAAGCACCTTTCCTCGTAGTGCAAGTACCAATGATGTTGCTTTTTGCTGGTCATCCCATCCATTTGCACTAGCAGCGGCCTCAAGCTGTCGTTTATACATGGACCATGATGTTTCGCCGTCAAAAGTTGGTGGTTTGAGTTGGCCGTTTACGATTGGGCTCACCGATACATCCATTTTGCTGGTATTTTCGTTGATACTGGGTTCTTCGCGAATTTTCTCCATTTTCTTCTCCAGTTTTCTATATTTTTTCTCTAATTCCTCTCGGATCGTCCTCATTTCGCCTTTGACTTCTTTTCGAACTGTTTCTATTTCGCCTTTGACTTCTTGTTGGATGTTCTGGAACAACCCAGCGATCCTGTCAATATCCCTCTGTCGTCTATCTTCCTGTTCTTGCAGAATTTTCTGGAGTTGGTCTTGCTCTTGCTGTCGCTTGTCCTCTTCTTCCTGTTTTTCTTTAAGTCGCCTGTTTTCTTGTTCTTGAAGGATTTTCTGTAGTCGGTCCTGTTCTAGTTGTCGCTTGTCCTCTTGTTCTTGAAGGATTTTCTGTAGTCGGTCCTGTTCTAGTTGTCGCTTGTCCTCTTGTTCTTGAAGGATTTTCTGTAGTCGGTCCTGTTCTAATTGTCGCTTGTCCTCTTGTTCTTGAAGGATTTTCTGTAGTCGGCCCTGTTCTTCTTGTTTTTCTTTTGCTCTCTTCTCGTCCGCAAGTGTCAACGAAGCAAGCACCTGGTTTAGCTGTTCTTCCATTTCGGTAGTCTGTTTTCTGGTATTTACCATAAATGCAAATCTTTTCACTCACCTATCCCACTTCTGACACCAATTGTTACTTATACGGGTTCGCAGATAAGTGAGACTACTTTTTCGAACTTTAACGAATTTTATTAAACTAATAACATAAAAATCACACGAAATTTAAAACTACTTTACATTCCGAACTACTCCAAATAAAGCTTATAACGGCACGAATATTTTCGAACGTGGTTATTTAGTTCCTGACTTTACAGTTTACTGCACTTGTCGTACGTCAATCAGAACTGATCCTTACGCGGTGCGCACCGGGGCTTTTATAGTTATGTACGTCCTTTGAGTCTCCGTAGATTCGGACTTCATGGCCAAGGAAAGTATCTTTACCACTTAAGTCGCGTTTTTATAGAAGGCATATGTTAGTGTTAATGGATTTTGTGTATCGAATCGAAGCGACAATCTTTCACTGCACTCAACTCAACCGTATAGATAGCCTTACGGATGTCAATGCAAGCAAAGACCAATGGGTAATTGTGCGGAATATGGATTTCTCAATCAACACTTTGATGGCCAGCAGTAGCACTATACTGTGCTGCTGTTAAAGCAGAGATTGAATAAAATCCTTATCTTTTGTAGCAAACAGGGACCTCGGAATACAATTGCGTCTTACTTCATCAACTCATCAATCACTGAGTCCTCTCTAGTTGCTCATGGTTCTCGATCTTCCTTGGAACAGATTCTATTTTTTTTTTCAAGGAAATTTCTAGCAGTTCCTCCGATCTTTGGTTCAATTGCCACACTTCGTATCACTAAAATTGAGTTTAAAAATAAAAAACAGCCATGGGCAATTTTTTTTAGATTTTCAAGGTCGCGGCCTTTTCAAATATTGTATTAAAGCAAAGATAATCCTACTCCGAAGTAGGATTATATTTGATTAAAGGTATTTTTTATTTTTCCATTTTCTCTCCAGGGTGGCGGTGCCCACCTTGCCCATATGGGCGAACCGCCACTGACTAACCACAAATTATATCACTATAAGTGTAAGATTCATAACTCGTTCAACTCACAACTAACCACTCAGTTGTCGCCGCCTCCTTTTCATAGCTCTGCGATAATAATTATTTTAGAGAATTCTTTCCGGTTGATCAACAACTAAGAAAGGAAAGATGCTTGTAAGCGGATATCTCTGTTAGCGGTGCTAAGGAATCGTGCCCCTTTTCCATGGTATGCCAACCAGACCAAGCTCTTGGTGTTATTGCTAAATTCCTCCATTATCTTATCGCACTTCTGACAACAAATTTTACGTATGCAGGTTAGCAGAGAAGTGAAGACTGCTACAATATTTCACGAATTCTTCCGTAATTCTCTAGATTGTTCCAGCAACGTTCAATTCCATCATCGAAAATTCTAGTGAATATTTGTGAGGCCTATTGTTATTTTAAGCCCTAGAGAGTTCAGACTACATGCTTGGGGAAGTCATCTTTGGTCATCTATGTTGCTAGAATGTACCCAATTGCCACCAAATTAGGGAAAACATTTTGTTTTTCTCTGCTACTTCATCCACAGATCTGGCACATTGTTGCGAATGTAACAGAAAAAACAAACTCAAGTTAGCGAAAATGAGCTAAAAACGATGGGCAAAATGCTGTCAGGTACCGTGTTCAAAGCATAGATGGCGCCACGGCCAGAAGTCTTTCCATCGATGTATAACACCATTGTATAATATAACACTATGCGGTTTATTAGTGTGACGTTGTCAATTCATAACCTGTATCTAAACAAAATTGTAGTTCATTACAATTTGAACAACCTTCTACATTCTAATGTTGCACGCACTGTACCCTGTACCATTGTTCAGTGCTATTGAGTCTAGAATATGGTGTTATTATTCGAAAAATACTAAAAAACACTTTGACCAAATGATTGAAGTAAGGTTATGTAGGTATTAAATTTCAAGTTTTCAAACGATTTTTCCCTGAGATAGATATATCAACAAGGTACATTCTTTCGGATAAAAAATATACCCAGGTAATTTTGAAGGATTACACGAAAATATCCTTTTCTCAAATAAAATTAGCCTGAAGTTTGTTTAGATACAGCAACCATAATATTCCTCAGGTGACTTCTTAAAGGTAATATGATGAGCTTATTTTATTAATTTATACATAGTTTATGTTTTAATGACTGGAGCACGATAAATCAAACCTACCAATTTTAATCCCTTGAAACCCTTACAGAGTGACCCAACACTTTCATTGGCCTCGTTCGTACATCCATACAAATTTGTTCAAAAAAACCCACCCGAAAGGCTTGATATACCATTGTCAGTCATGCACTCAAAAAATCCCCGCGTCAAACAAGGGGTTTTCGGGTTTCATGAGGCGTAGTTTTGTAAATTGTACCTAAGTACTACTCATTGACGCAGGTAAAAGATTTTAACAATAATTATAATCTGCTTGCAGTCTTATCAATATTTCATTAGTTTTTCTTGTTATGTAGGCACAACAATGAATTAACTATAATAAATACATTCTGACTCATTTATGTGTGCCCTGGGATCAAAAAATAGAGTATAGTTCGCAATAAATTTAGTGATATGCAAACGTTAATTAAAATTGAATTTTTTTTTGCCTCGACTAGGATTTGAACCCAAGAGGACCCACTTAATTTGGTTTATTTTAAATAATTCTCATTGTTTAATGAAGATATAAGTTTTGCTAAACGCCCCTATTCTAGTAACAATAATTACCTGTGCTGATGCTTTTACAGTGGGAAAGCCTCCAGATCTCAAATTAATATTGCACTCGTACACTCCGCTGTGGGTTGTGTTAATTCCCACTAAAGCCAAACTCCTGTTCCAGATATCGTTTACGGAATAAGCAATTCCTGCGTTCTCGATCGGAATCCCGTCTTTGAACCATAATGTTTCGAGCTCGTGAAGAGGCTTTCCGTTAGCTATACAATCCAAAGTAGCTTCCGGCGATCCTTTGACTATTTCCAAATCTTCAGGAGGAACGATGATTTCTGGAGCTATTTCTTCGATTCCAGGCGAATCCTCGACCGTTAGTCTTGTAAAGGGGCTGTTCTCTTCTTTTCCTTCTTGGGTATTTATTGCACGTGCCCTTAAAATAACAAGAGTTTATTTTAGAAAGAACCTTGTTTTCAGAAACTTGCACTAAACCACCAAACTTCGATCAGTGGCAATACAAACAAGCCTATAGCAAAGTTTACCGAATACTAGTTTCCGGTAAACTTTGGCTTTAAATTACGGTTTGTTTACCATTTGCTTGCATTCGTGAATATGGAGTATAAGATGATCTTCTTGAAAATTAAACAGGTAAAATAAGCCATTTTTGTTGTGAAGAATTTCAATTATGAGAAAATGTTATATGGAATGCTATATCCACAAGATTGCTTATAGCAACTTTGTAGCTAACCAGTAGTAACTCTTGATCAATCCCCAAATTATTTTATTCAAGAGTATAATTTGTCTTAGACTAAAGGTGAAAATAGGAAATTTGTGTTTACTTTTTAATGCTCAATTCAAGCTACCTACTTATGTAGTTGTTGGTACTTATTAAAATTTGGGATAGGTACCTACAATCAAATATTTTTGAAAATACTTAAAACTAATATAAGAACCTTAGGTAGGTACTCCAGTAATAAATAATAAAATTTACTCAAATACTGTTCAGCCCTTAGATTAGGTAAATAATTTTCAATAAAACAAAGCATAAAAAAATCAATTTAATCATGAGCGTGACCGATTCCAATAATTTCCAAATCGAATCCTGTTATTATAACAAGCAAATAAAAAGGTATACAAATAAAAAAGGAAATCAATCAATTGCCATTTCATTAAATTCAGAATGAGTTATTGTTATCCATGAATTATGTATTGAAACTTGAATAATTGAAGTCTTAGTTATAGAGACAATTATTATCATGATTAAATTCAGAAAGTTTCTTCTTTTATGAGAATACGACTCACATGACGTTATAATGAATAAATTATTGCCAATTTGAATGTATTATCCAGGGTTCAGTTGCACTGGTGACCTACTTTTGTATTCTGGAGTAGTTTATGGAAGCAGTTCCAACTCTACAGTCCCCAAGAAAATCTACACAAACTAGCAACACTGCACTTTTACCCTTCAGCGCTAGAAGATAAGGGTTGTATTTAAACGATGCCTAAGGTCCTACTTCCGATACGGTGCAGTTAATTAATATGACCCTATTTTATAACTATATCCGAGAAGGGATGTTTTAATACTGTCACGTTCTTATCTTGGCTTCTTCAATACTGATGATCCTTTTGTGGTATTATCTTGTCTAAGGTTAGTATTTATAGTATTGTGAAGAGTGATGATGATAAATAATACTTATTATCAATTATATACTACAACTTTCTTATAGAAATGAAGATATAACGAGTCCTCTAAATTTTAAAGGGGCGGAACATGTTTTTTTTTTTCGAAAAGTAGCGGGTTTAGAATTTGGAAAGTTTCGGTCCAATGAAATGAGTTGGGCTAGGTTTCTTGTACGTCACTTATTTTTTTCGAAGCATCATGCTGATATGAAGTCATGAACTGTTTCTAGAAATTTATTGGTATTGGGATAAGATTTGTTCTGCTTCCAATATATTTCCCTACTATCTCAACAGCTTTCAACGTAATTCGATTTTTTTTCCTTTTCTTCATTCCTCTATTTCTCATTGTACCAAGACTCATCAATTATTTTGTCACCGTAGTTCCGGAAATATACAACAGGGGGTCTGTTTGAGTAGATGTAAGTATATCCAATATTTGATTGGCATAATATTTCGTGAGTTTGTTATCCTAAAAAGTGAGGTATTTTTGTAATACAGAAATGTTCAAAGGGAATCGCTTGTATCGGCAATCAAGTTTTTGCCTTCCACGTCGCGATTTCGCTGTCTTGAGTCATGACCTATCCACTACAGTAAATCTATAATGATTTGGAGCTTATTAAGGTGGCAACGGCACTCTCAAATCTGATTGTATGTTGATAGATGGCGCTAGGAAGCAGCATTTGAAACATTATTTTGCATCTAGCCCAATAGCTCGCCACCGTGCCATCTCGTGCCTTTTTCGGTCAGTTCGGCACATCAGAATTGGCTCAAATTTGGCATAAACATTCTTTGATGGATTATCTGGAGATTTATGGAGTTATTTTTTTAATTTTTAGCGTGGTTATTTTCATTTTTGGGAAATAATCCATAGCAAAACCTTTTCCGAAAAATAGGCAACCAAAGAAATAGCCTGCTTTTTTTTCGTACAAAGAAATACTCAAAATATGGGAAAACTAACTTCGCAAATCTTAAGATAATCGATCAAAGAATGTTTATGCCAAATTTGAGCCAATTCTGTTGAGCCGTTTTTTTTTTACACCTTCAAAGCGATTTCACGAAAATGCGCCTATGTGCGCATGCGCATGGGATGCTGTTGCCACCTTAAGTGAAAATTTGCACATTAAAAAATGGTTGCAAGCTTTTAAGTTAATTTTCTTCATAACCGCTGAGAACAGGATGCTGCAATTTGGAGTGTTTTAACAGGAAAAACACACTTCCAGAACAGATAGAGAAAAATTGACTTAGATGTCATGGGATCGATTTCCGAGAAACGTCGATTGTCAAAAACCGTATCGCGATATCTTCAATGGTAGCACTGATACAGGGCGACTAGCCAAATCGTGGTACAATAACCTAGAAAACTATAGGTATTCTTGGGACGAATGGAAGCAGCCACTATAGGCTCATCGACAGCATCTAAGACAACTCCATTCAATCAGGTGCAAAAGTTGGCAGATACTCAACACCCGAATAGTTATATAGAGATTATCTGGCTTCGCTGACTGTTATGCGAGAACGGCCTAGGCAAGATTTTCCTAAAAGGCAGGAAAAACGACAATAGGATTTTCTTAATGTACTTGTGCAGAAACTACAAAAAGGGGCAAGTGCTACAACTGTAAACAATATGGGCATTTTCAAACGGAGTGCACCAAGCCCCGTACGGAGTGTGCGAATTGCAACAAATTGGGTCACACAACTGAAAATTGCTTTAGCAAAAAATCGAGAAAAACATTATTTTGTGACGCTCAAACGTTTTCAGAGAACAGTGGTTACTACGTCACATGTGTTAATAATGGTCACGATACCCAGGGATTCGTAGACTCAGGGTGTGAGGAAATTCTTGTGCAAGAGTCCGACGCTCGTAGCTTGGGACTAAATGGTAACGGATATGGTGGAGCTACGTCTAAGGTCATAGGTACTACCAAGGTAACTATGAAAGTTGATTTATTTGAGGCAAAGTCCCAATTTTAATTGTTCCTGATCGCTTACAAACTATACCAGTTCTGATTGGAAGCTCAACCTTGAATAAAAAAGATGCCGTCATGGTCATTCAAGATGGTAATGCTCGACTCTTTAACGCTGAAATGGCAGAGTTGCAGTTAGAGAATTTACCACCAAAGAAAATGACACTACGAGCAAAAAAAAAGATGTTAAAATACCACCCAAGCATAGGCGTATCGAGCTGTTCGACAAGCAACAGCTATGAGGGAAATATTTTTGTGGATTCCTGACATTCTTTTGAGCCCTCAAAGGAATTCTTCTTGCCAAGGTGTGTCATCTCATCTTCAGACGCAAAAATTCCTATTCTTTACACATCGAGCAACACCATTTGTTTTGAACGAAATCAAGTTATTGCCAGAGAAACGCCCTGTATTGAAGACGATATACAGTGAGTGTTAACAAAGTAGATATTACAAAGCTATTGAAATTTACAATAAAAGACTTAAAGGTCATCTAACGGAAAATCTTTCTGAGAACGAGACAAATAAATTGTTATTATTAAATAAATATCGCGATTGTTTTGCCAAAAATATTTGTGAACTATGTGATATCAAAAATGTAGAAATGCCCATTCATTAGAGTGATGATAAGCCTATAACTTATCGACCCTATACCCTATCGACTTTCGCTTCACGAAACAGAGAAGGTACGTGACATGGTAAATGAATTGTTGTCTGCTGGTATTATTCGGGAATTACAAGCGCCTTATTCCAGTCCCATTATTCTCGTAAAAAAGAAAAACGGAGAAACGCGCATGTGCGTCGATTATCGCGTCAGAAATGCTAAAACCGTGAGAGACTGTTTTCCTCTACCACGCGTCGACGATCATCTTGAAACATTGAAAGAATGTAAGTAATTTACCACGCTGGATATGGCAAGCGGCTATAATCAAATAAGAATAGCTGCGGATCCAGTTCCAGTACAGAGAACAGAATTCGTTACACCGGACGGGCAGTACGAGTATCTTCGGATTTGGATTAGTCAACGCACCAACCATGTTCCAAAGCACAATCAACTAAATTTTAGGCTCAATGAGGTACTCAACAGCACTAGCGTACATGGACGACATACTGGTTGCATTTCCGAGTTTCGAATCCGGATTAATAGCTTTGGCGGACGTACTTGAAAAATTTAGAAACATCAGAGTTACATTACGTTTGGAAAAATATCAATTTTTTCAAAATCAGATTGACTACCTTGGTCATGAGATTACCGCCAGTGGTATACGGCCGGGTACTGAAAAAACCAAGGCAATCAAAGATTTTCCAGCTCCCAAAAGTGTGCACCACCCAATAAACATTTTTAGTTATATATTGGTAATCGTATATTTTACAACACCCACTTTAAATAACCTATAGTTCAATAATAATATGTGGGAAACATTTATATCACCCTTATAAAAGCCTTAAAACACTTAAATGGCGGAGTTTATAAAGGTTACCGACACCTGTGTTAGTTACGTAATATAACTGTAAGATTTATAGAAGTATTTATTTAAATATTTCCAGAAACCTTATAAACCCTCTATAAAAATATAAATTAAATGATGTTGACACCTGGAGTAACAAGTTTTTTTTTGTCTTTGTCTATTTAATTATTTTTGGTATGTCTATGTTTGTTTGATGATTATGCCTCCAGCGCCTCCGTCTCATGAAGGGATAAATAAATGCACAAGGACAAGAAGTCCTATGTTGCACCAATGGCTTCTGCTAGATGAGTAATTGTTTCACATTCACATAAAAATAGTGTTGT